TAATTGAAAGATGCGGTGCTTAACTGAAAGTCAAAAATTGCCCAATGCAGAGACATCATTTGAATGAAATCGTTAAGCAATTAAATGCGTCACAATCTACAGGAATTTGACCTTTCAGGGTCAAACTTGCCAAAGAATAAGAGCTGACCTAGAGATATCCAACTGATGACCAATACATTTGAAAATTTACTATATATTCAGTCAGGAGTAATTCATTAATGTCTCGTTAGCTCACCTAGGAAAAATCTTTAAAAATCTTCTTCTCAAGAACCTCTGGACAAGAAAAGATGAAACTCATGTGGAAGCATCCTCAGGTAGTGTTGATTCAAGTTTGTTCAAATCATGACCCCCTGGGCTAGGGTGGGGCCAAAATGGCGGATCAAAGTTTTACATAGGAATATATATATAGGAAAAATCTTTTAAAATCTTCTTCTCAAGAACCACTGGGTCAGGAAAGATGAAACTAATGTGGAAGCATCCTCAGATAGTGTAGATTCAAGTTTGTTCAAATCATGACCCCCCCCCCCCGGGGCAAGGGTGGGACCAAAAAGGCCGACCAACGTTTTACATAGGAATATATAGGAAAAATCTTTAAAAATCTTCTTCTCAAGAACCTCTGGACCAGGAAAGATGAAACTCATGTGGAATCAACCTCAGGTAGTGTAGATTCAAGTTTGTTCAAATCATGACCCCTGGGGGTAGGGTGGGGCCAAAAAAGTTTTACATAGGAATATATAGGAAAACCTTTTAAAATCTTCTTTTCAAGTACTTCAGAGCCATGATTAGTTATATTTATATGGAATCATTCTCAGGTAGTTTAGATTCTAGTTTGTTCAAATCATGACCCCATGGGGGGTTAAAATTCAAGCCTCCCCCCCCCCCCCCCCTTACCTCAGTAAACTAAGTTCTGATCTGATATGTGCTTTTTCCTAGCCGATGTTCTCAGGTGAGCGCTGTGGCCCATGGGCCTCTTGTTTATAAAGATTTCGTACTGTGTTTCTGTAAATCTAATCCATCAGATCGAGTCCACCTATTATAATTCCTATAAGAGGTCCTTATTGTTCCAAGTATAGGCATTCCAATCAAGACACTATCTTCAAAAATAAGTTAACTGCATTTGCGTCATTAAAAACTAACTTAAGAAAGTTCCATTCGATTTACTGTTATGAGCAGGCCTTATATAGAGTGTCCATACTCCTCGTGAGATTGACTTTCTGTCGTGAATGGGATTTTGTAGTTTCCATACTCCACTTGAGATGGACTTTCTGCAATGAATGGGATTTTGTAGTGTCCATACATGTACTCCTCGAGAGATGGACTTTCTGGGGATTTTGTAGTGTTCATGTTCCTCGTGGGGATGGATGGGCTTTATGCAGTGAATGGGAATCGTAAAGTGTGCAAACTCTTCGTGGGAAGGGACTTTTTACAATGAATGGTATTTTGTAGAGTGTGCATATTCCTCTTTGGGAAGGAATTTCTACATTGAATGGGATTTGTAGAATGTCTAAACTGGGAAGGACTTTCTGAAGTGATTGGGATTTTGTAGAGTGTGCACACTGCTTGTGGGGAAGGACTTTCTGCAGTAAATGGGATTTGTAGAGTGTCTATACTCCTCGTTGGGAAGGACTTACTGCAGTGAATGGGATTTTGTAGAGTGTGCATACTTCATCTGGGGAAAGACTTTCTGCAGTGATTGGGATATTGTAGAGTGTGCATTATTACAACGCACTTTGAAAAATTACGCACTTTGAAAAAAATTTTCAAAGTGCGTTAATTTTTGGGACCAGGTTAACGCACTTTGAAAATATTTTCCAAAGTGCGTTGAATTTGGGACCAAATCAACGCACTTTGAAAAATTTTTTCAAAGTGCGTTAAGACTGTACATCATAATTTTACACCATGTAAACATTTAACGCACTTTGAAAAAAATTTCATGAAACAAAAGGAATTAGACTTATATTTTAGAAATAGACAACAGTATTATCCCCTCGCAACGTATGATGGGATATAAAAGTGATGAACTTTCAAGTGATGCACTTTTTATGAAATAATCATAAATATGATAACATGTATCTAATATCTTTTCTCATGTTTTACGCAAATAAATAAAGCATATATAAATTAATAAAATACAATTATTTAGTTTTGAATAGCATTAAAATTGGTGAAAAATAAGCATTTTTTTTCTTGTTTTGTATATAAACATATGCCCCCCCCCCCCCGTGAAACACAAAAAGCTTTGGCATAAATTTGTAAAATGACAGTCCATATTACCTGTAAATAAGGAATTTTTGTTTCACGGGGGGGGGGGGGGGGGGGGGAGATGTTTTGAAAATATTTTCAGTTTTCCGTTGATTTCTACAGTGAAAAACACAAGTTTTGCCAAAATTATAGAGTTATCTCTCTTTGGTATCCCAAATAAGTAAAGTTTTATGAAAATTCATATAAATATCTATAAAAATTTTGACAATCATTCCAATATGTTAACTTTTGAGAATTAACTGAGAGATAGGCGGAAGAATAATACTATCGTTCGTAGTTCTTTACGCCCTTGAATGTTGACCTTTTGACCCCAAATTCAAAAGGGGTCTTCCTAAGGCCACAAGGATTCTGTTATGTTAAATTTCATTGCAAAAGCTCAAAGGGTTGTCGAGATATCGTGTGGAAACGAAAGCGTTACAGAAAGATGGATGGACGGACAGCTAGACGGACGGATGGACAGATAGACCCAAATTAATATCCCCCACTTTTCAAGCGGGAGACAAAAAGTATCAAATCAGGTTCAAATGATAATTTATCATACCTGAGATTTGTAGGAACATTGACTAAGCCATGCAGAATTTTTTTTTTCAAAGTGCGTTAATATGGTCGATATTAACGCACTTTGAAAAAAAAAAATTTCAAAGTGCGTTAACCTGGTCCCAAAAATTAACGCACTTTGAAAAATTTTTTCAAAGTGCGTAATTTTTTTCAAAGTGCGTTGCCACAGTGCATACTCTTCGTGATATGGACTTTCTGCAGTGAATGGAATTTTGTATAACTATATCCCATACTTGTCCATACTCCTCATGAGGAGGGACTTTCTGCAGTGAAATCAAAATTTGGGTACCAATACGCGCTATCCGGATCAGTACACCCAACCCACCCATTTACAAATACTGGTAGCTACATATAAAAATTGTCAGAACTGTTAATATCCTGTTCATAGCAGTTTAGAGTTCACATGTACAGTCCATATACACTCTTCAGAACAGAAGTGTTTTCCTTTCTTGGGAAAAAGATGCAAGAGATTTCGGCTGTAAAAATTTAATCGTGTACAAAAACGTAACAATGAAACATATATATAGATAACAAATCAATAAATTACATAATAAGGGTTGAGTAGCAATATTCATAACATTGTTAACAAAAATGAGATAAATACAATTCATGAAATTCGAAACATGATAATTGTTCATTAGAGTAATACTAGTGATTGATCAATTAACAACCATTTATCAAAAAAGCAAAGATTTGTGAAGTATGAGGGAATTACCACCTCGTGATGCAAAAATAAAATCCTCAACCAAATATTCATCAAAGTGTCATGCTTTTGTCAAGTTACGGACAAAGATTAAGGTTGAACGACCTATGCTCATCATAACACTTTTCTGTAATAATGACAGTTTCATAAGAAATAAAAATAAATGCTTAAAAGTTCAATATTTGATACAAATAATTGTTCATGATAAAAATTTTATAGGGAAAACAATGGCTAATTTTAATGTCTCTTAGCAAATGATCACTCCTCCTTATACCATAAGAAAATGATATCACCATAACATTAAACATTTATGAATATCAAACAATAAGAAATTAGGAATATATTCGTTACAGCGAAATGCCAGGAATAAATATATTCGTTACAGTGAAATGCCAAGAATACCATACGGTGAGAGATGGTGAATTGTCTAGAATTGCTCACGATTATGAAGATCTTACTGTGGAATATCATGAAGATCTTACGATGAGATATTTAAAATACCTTACGACGAGTTGTAAATATCATATCGTATAAATATCGCATATAGTGAGCTGTCATGAATATCCTATAGTGAGATATCATATATCCTACAATGCGTGCCTTACATCGAGTTTTAAGAGGCAGTCAGGACACCGAAAAACCAGGCAGTATTGTATTAATAGGCGGCACATCGAATGTGAGGAATATTTGATATTTTATGAATAACAATATCAATGTAGTCCAAAAGGAAAAATGTAATTGAAGATTTGTTTGAAAATTGCTTATTCAGTAAAATATCCTAGTGTTTTGTGTTTTTGACTTCCCCTATATAAACCATTGAAAGTAGGTCAGAAACAAAGAACTGTAATTTCCAATACAATTTTAACAGGACTATAATTCACACTTAAATAAATCTTGAAATATTTCATCTTTTTGTTAAACAAATAAAATCATTGGGAAAAACACTTTTAATAGAAGTTTTCTGGCAAAATATATAGACGTTTTTACGAAAATTTGCGATGCAAGAGTTATCTCCCGTGGCATCGGTAAATCTGCTAAACACATTTTAATCGGAATCCTAGTGAAATATTAAGAATCGATACACTAAAGAAAATTATTAAACACAAAATAAATAATTTATTTTCAAAATATAATTCATGATCGCCTCCAAACATAATATTTAGAATAAAATTGGCTATAAGATTCAGGTTAAATCCACGTTTCCATTGATGTATCAGTGACGTCATAATATTGCGTCACAATGAAATAGTTACAAGTTTTCCAGACAAGTTTGTAAATTCTTTGCGTAAAGTGTAAAGAAAAATATTTTTTAAAAAATGATTTCTCTTTTTCTGTTAAATACTCTACAGAGTGCATTATACTAAATGTTAAATAATATTTTAATATCAAAATGTATTTTACACAGTACACGGGCGTCTCAGCAAGATGACGTTTTGATAAGTAATTTTATACATGACCGAGAACTAATTTTTTAAAATTGATTTACCAGGATATGCGTTAAAATAATTAATGAAGTGTTTATAATCTTATAAAATTGGGAATCAATGATGAATATCCTATAGTGAGATATATATCTCCTACAATGCGTGCCTTACATCGAGTTTTAATGAATGCGAATGATCATCTTACATTGAGTCATCGTGGATATCTTAGAAAAGTTTTGCGTAGAATACTTGAAAATTACATTTAATGAGTTTTTCCATTGTGCACGACTTTTTCAGTGGGATGTAACGAAATACAATGCACATGCAAAATGTGTAGGCTAATAGGCAAAGCCTTACAAAGTGTAAGATTACGTGAAAAAATGCGAAAGGTTAATTAAATTGGGTAAACTTTTTTTTTTAAAAATGTGAAAGGTTAATTAAAAGGTGAATGAAGTTCCCGTTTAGTAAATGACAATTTTCTTGCAAACTTTGATAACAAATGAAACCAAGGACCAGAAACGTGAAACCAATTGGTAAATGGAATAATTTAAAGAAGAAAATGCCAACTTTGTACACATAATTTGTAGTCGATGGTTAATATAAATTCACCGTAGATACATTCGGCACTTCTTGAAAATATATACGATGTGCTACCGTTGTCGGTAATAATAAAACAGGACTAGGAATTAAAATGCCATATTAAGTCTATTTGTACAAAAGACATACTGGTTAGAAATACATTCAGTGTATACTAATAGATGTAATACATGTATATGTTGCTGTAAGTGTAGTATAAGATTTACTATGTGTATAGTCTGTCCAACGACCGGAACGTAACTACTTTTTGCAAAATATCTCAAAATAAATACCTTGGTCTTCAACCTACGTCCGATTGGCAGATTGATTTTTTTCCAAACTTTCTGCATTTATACGAACCCTCGAGGTCAACCGGTGTATATACACACAGCGGCAAATTCAAAGTCTGCGGGGATTTCACATTGCTAAAATGGCTGCCACTTCGAAAGGGGATCCTTTATTTTTTTTTTTTTATTCTTCGGAATTTGTCGTGGGACAGACTATAATGATTTTCCTTGTGAAATATTGCTTTAGCGAGGCATCTTCGGTAACTGAAGACAATGGCCATATTCTGCAACTGAACTACCCTAGCATGCCTAGTCTGCCTCATAAAATAATTCAGCTCAATTTCTTGAGTATTCGCAGAAATATAATTAGATACTCGAGTTACCGTTCGTAAATGGTAGTATTTATTGACTTTTATTTAAATACGAAGCTGGTTAGTTATCTGGAAAGAATTATATATTCACAACAATTAATTTGCCAGTCGTATTAACTTGCCTAGAACTGAAACAGACACAGAAGATAACAGAATAATTCTAGATCATGCATATCCTTTCTTTTATATTTCGATATTTCAAAGATCCAATATTTTGATTCCATTTTGAAAGGTGTTTTCTTTTCTTGAATTGGCAATGAATTGCAATGAATGCACCCTTGATCAGACTTTATATTGTCATACTGTGAACACACATCCACCATTAGTTGGAAGCAACGATTCGAAGCTCCGGAAGTGACATCATACTGACTGTTCTCGTCTGTCTCCTTGGCGAGACTTGAAACAAAGTCGACAAATTTTGGCCTTGGCGGACTCTCTAACTAAGTCATCCAGACTCATACAAAAAGCGGCGGCTAAAAAGAAGAAGGCACTGCCCCACCCTAGCCCGTACCCCGGGCCGTATTGGTGAGACGAGGACGAATCGTTTGATTCCATGGCAACCGGGTAAATGATTAAGGCAGCACCTGTGCTTATCGCTGAAAAATTTAAGAGGACATATTAAACAGGAATTATTTGAAAAGTCTGAGGGAAAAAAGAATTCTCGCCAAAAACCATTCGTTTCTTTAAAAAATTAATGTAGTGCATTGTATTCGTGGGATTGTAACCCTAGCAATAAAAATCAAAGTATCACTTTGCCTAAAGATTTGCCACTACGATATGCCTATTAATTAAATGGGCGTATAAATCGTTACCTCTTAGAAAGATACGAATGTTTTGTCACAAAAGTATTTAAAGGTATAGGGCTCTATGCTTTTATTAACCCCAAAAATGTATGTTTTAACGCAAACTTTTTGAATTTACTTTCAAATAGTACAATTCTCTGTTATCCTTGGACTTTCAGTAAGACATGGCATTCTCGTTACATAATTAGCGTCTAAAATTTACACAGCCTTTCATTCAGTGTTGAAATATACATTCGGGCGAATGTCAACGAGTGTAGCAATTATTCAATGATAGCGTTCCGTACAGCTGAAGTCGTCATATCGTTGTCAACAATTTAAAGTTGTTGATGTTATTAATTTCTTAACCAATGAGAATCTATTCGCCATTTGAAAGACGCTAATTACTTAGTGTCGAGAAAGTCACGCCCTGCTGAAAGTCCACGGTTGATAACTGAGAATTGTACTAAATGGAACGAAGGCCCGCTCATATTGAAAAAATGTGTTATAGTTCATGACAACTTCATGTATATAGAAATGATCCCTTTTGCCTTCTTAATTGTTTGTATCATATTTCATAGTAAAATAAATTCAATCTTTACGTGATTTTGCAAATACTAGAGAAACTACATAAAGTATACCTTAATGTTAGATGAAATATCAAAGAAATTTTGATATATTTAAGTTTAATTTTTCATCTTAAAGCTTGTGTATTGTAGGCATTTTCCAAGCCTTTTTCACTCATCTGCTTTAGGTTTACATTTTTTGTTTAATAGTAAGATATCCCTAGTGTTCAATTCCAGTAATCTTGTTTTACAAATATTTATGTTTTACCTACAAAGTATGATTTATTCTGTTTTACATTTTGCGAAAGTAAAATGGAATTTGATTGTTTCTCAGGAGCATACTTCTCACATGAAACAAATAGTTTATAACCAAGAAATTAAAGTGTAAGAAAACGAAATATAATCATAAAAGGCAGTCTTACCACAGACTAAGAATATTTCTCCCGAGGAATGGAAGTAATAAATCTTTTTGGGCAGTGGTGACGTGCAAACTCCACAGACGGCTAAAATGGAAGCGATGAATCCAAAGGAAGCTGAGAAAATCATTAAGCCGATCACGGCATTTTGCCAGCCTACAAAATAAACAAAGACACTGTCAGTACTCCACACAGAAATTATAATACAGTAGAATTCCATTATCTCGAACTCGACGACTACTTGGGACTTTCATTAGACTTCGAGATATCCATGTTATACGAGATATTCGTGTTCGAGATACTGAAGTTCAACTGTATCTTTTTTGAATCTTGTTCTAAAACACTTGAGTAAAATAAAGTCCTAATATATATATATATATATATATATATATATATATATATATATATATATATATATATATATATATTTATAAGTAAATTTATAATTAATGAAAGCAACTGTGGGTATGTTTTTAGCTGTAGTCACTTGAACAAAACCCTAGTAAAGAAAATAAACTATTCCGAATACACGTACATATAAATATTAAAAAAAAAACCACTTCGAATTCATTGCATGATCTCGTAGAATTTTTTGCCATTAAAGGCCATAGCATTTAATGGTACAGGAAATAACTTCTGTATAATAAGAATTGATTCTATAGAGATATAATGAAGACTTGGTGTTTATGGATTGTTTATTAGTCGTACGTTGAACCGTGCCGTCTATGCAAATCGGGCTCACACTGCTGTTGCTCATTTGAAAACACTTGTTCCACATTCCGTTACGGAAACCTGAAAATAGAACAAAAATAGTGCGATTGGTCCTTATATTGATCTTAGGTATGTAAATTTAAAATAAAATCTCTACTGCACAAGACAAATAGATGAATGTTCAATAGTAAAATTTAGTCGTCGTATCATAATCAATATCCCAATATTTGTCTGTGGAAATTACAAAAAAAAAAAAATTATGACTATTATATTATTATCATGAATAAATATACAATTGTACAGTCACTTTTAATTCCTGGAGTATGCAAAGAATCCATTATTTAGTTACCTATCGTTCGAACAGTTTGTGGATATTCTGTAGTATTTAATCCCTCTTCAATTTTTTTTTTAAAATTAATTACTTTAATACGTTGTAACCAAAGAATTTATGTTTTAATATTCTTAATAAAACATAACTACACTGCCACTAAATATCTCGTATGCTTCAACTTTTTATGAAACACTGGAGGACAGCCATTGATCATTAACTTGTAAATATTCTATTGACAGACGATCTAATAATGATTCGATGTATGTTTTCCCATTGTACAAGTTACAACTTTCTGCCACGAAATAAACATCGGGGGGCGTCAGGCTGTGATTACGATTGGAGATTGATTAGATTTTAGTCCAATCAATATCACACTTGCAACCTGAAACCTACAACAGAGGCAACGAAAATCGATGACGCAAGAAGACATCATGATGAGAATTGTGTTGCTATATTTCCTCTTCAAAAGGTATTGCGTTTCTTGCTTGAATAATTTGAGACAATAAATAAGATTAAGGAAAGAAATGATGCGATTATAATTAACTGGACGATAAAATGACTATCTTATATCGAATTTTACTTTTAACTCGTAAAGTAAAATAAATTAAAATTAAAAAAAAATTTGAACTAGGACTTTCTGCATCATGGTTAGGCTTGTAATAAGGTTCAGTACAAGACCTCTCAACGATTACGTTGGACAACTTTAAAGCATTTACAGGACCGATTACAACAGTGTATTTTAGATGAATATTAAAGTGTTATACGGTCTTCAAAAATAATATCCCAAAGATACACCAATTAACATAGTGAAACCGACCCACACATACATTAACCAAAGCGTTGAAATCATTTATAAACTGCGATGTATATTGTTCTATTTCCATTACACTGCTGCAGCCTGGTATTGATTTTACTACATACCATATTGTCAAACTGCATAGAACTATACATATATTTCTCGTCAAGTTCTGTGTTTTCATTGAGTACGTTTTGCAATCACCCTGAATGGCATTAATATTTACATTAGAATTTAAAGTACGTGCATCGCGTCCATTCTATCAGAATCCTTTTTTGGATATTTTTTTTAAAATATTTTTTTAAAACATGATTAGATTCGACAGAGATTAACACGTAATTCACACGTGTTCGTATTTCTACGGAAGCAATGCATACATGCATTATTCCTATATGTGAAGATAAGTATTGAAATCGTGTTAAAGTCATTAGAAAAATATCAACATACATAAATAACACAATCTAATTTAAATTAATAGACAATATAACGTTTTAGTAGTATTGGTATAAGACTTACCTTCGCCGTACACCCAGTTGTCACTCAGAATGGAGGCCAGGACCAGGGGAAGGGCTATGGCGATAGAGAAAACCCCACAGATCCGGAAGGGGCGCCATATTTTGGCCTCTCTCAGGTAGTACTCCTCCCCAAACTTTCGGACGTCGGGACTTTCCCCCGTCTTGAACTTAAGGAAGTTTTTCATGGCGGTGACCATTCAGATGACGTTTTGTTGATATTTTTAGATTTCAAACTTCGTTTAAATGATCGGACACATAACTCTTCTTTTGAAAAGAAAAATTTGTTTAAAGATCCCCTTTTGTAGTATTTCTTAATACTGTCACCCTCCGCTGAGCAGTATAGGACAACAGAACGCAGTATACAACCGTCACATTTCAATAAGCACTTCCACTCCTAAGCACTTAGTCCTACGATTTTAACCTTTCAAATTACGCGATTTCAAGAAAAAAAGTTTTATTTTTTGAGGTACGTTTGAAGACAAATGAAACACACTAGGGAACACAACCAAATGCTGATGATATCATTAATTATTTACTCAATAGCTCGCGGGATATGGCGACCAGTGTTGGAGATTGTTAATTTTGAATTTATTATGTGTGCTCCGGGCGGAGACGCCATTCAGGTTGCCTAGAAACGTCATTGTCTCCGGTTTCAGCGGCGAAGAAAGGCAGGAATATTTTTTTCTCCTGTACCGTACAAGGTGACACAATGTCGCTCGATAAATGCTAACTCTGTATGCAGCATTTGAATTCTAGTGGGATTCCGGAGTAGCGATACACTTTAGACATTACTGCGCCATTTTTTTGCATTCAGCAACGGAACTTTGTGAAAGAGTCATTAGTTCTGGGAAAAAATCAAATCCTAATAGAGAAAAATCGATTTTTCATTCCCTTGGAAGGATTGAGAATTTCTTTCCGTCCCTTTGCGTGCACTGTGGTATTACGTCTTACATCTGATTTCACATATCAATGTAGCAGCTACCGACGTGACCTTGAATAATCTCGGTAATTATGATGTTAATTTTACTCGTGTTTTACAGCTTTAATTAGTCCTAATTAAAATGCTACGTAGCAAGTGACTAAACAATATACTAGGCGATTCAATGCCATTTTCAGTATGCAAGTTAATAACAAGAAGAGTCTATGAGCCAATGCTATCTAGTAAAACCCCCGCTCCAAAGTGAATATACACTTATCACGTTCAGTTACGGACAGACATACGGATAAGAAGTCAACATCCGATTTGAACAAAAATGATACCACCATATGGCGTGTCTCAGCAAAAAATGTGCTAAAATTTCAAGCATCTGCTATGAGCAGTTGCTGAGAAAACTGCGACGAAATTTTTTTTGTATTGTACGGACAGACGCATTGACGAATAGAAAGTTGACATAAGATTTGAACAAAAATGAATCCCACCATATGGCGTGCCTCAGCATAAAATGTACTAAAATTTCAAGCATCTACAATGAGTTGTTGCTGAGAAAACTGTGAAGATGAATTTGTTTTGTATGATACGGACAGACACACGGATAAACAGGAAGTTGACATCGGATTTGAACTAAAATGAATTCCAACAAATGACATGCCTCAGCATAGAATGTACTAAAATTTCAAGCATCTGCAATGAGTAGTTGCTGAGAAAACTGTGACGTAAATTTGTTATGAAAGGTATGCACAGACGCATGGATAAAATGATTTGAACAAAAATGAATCCCAACATATTGCATACCTCATCAAAGAATGTATTAAAATTTCAAGCATCGAAAAAAAATTGTTACGGACAGACAGCTAAACAGACGGACGGGCAACCCGACCACTATATACCCTCCAACATTTGTGTAAATTTATCCTGGATTATAATGTTCATGTTCTATATGCATGGAAGAATGGTTGCATGCTAATAACACATATCAACGCGTCTGACTGATATGTCTGCATATAAATGTGTATGTACTGTATATCCGGGAATATTTTTAAAGATACATTGAATCAAACATTTTGTTAAAATTCCATCATCATTTCGATTTTCCCTATTGCATGTGATGCTTACAATACATTCAATCAAATGATTTATCGATGTAAGAGCGTTTGCAATCTGAAGATTTTGTCAGTATTTATTATAGATGTAATTATTATTTATCTTTTTCAAATCTATATGCCCTCTGAGGAGTTTAAGTTTATTCCTACTAAGCCAATTTTTTTTTAATTTCATATTTCTTTGAATAACATGTTGACTTCAAGTAGTAATTTAGGTGAGTTATCTTTCTTTTGCTATAGTATTGGGTTTTTTTGGTTTACATATTGCGTAGATAAGTTAGTGTAATAAAAAGAATTTTAATTTTATTTCGAATTAAATTGTACGGGAAATGATTTTAAATGCATTTCCTGTTTCCTTTTTTTTTTTTACTCCTTATGTTGTGTACACTCACAAACACTCATCTGGTCAAATTGTATTTGTGTGCTATTAATTCACGTGCATCTGCTAAAGATATGAAAAGATTATTAATTTAACAAAAGTTTTGTTTGTTTTTCTAACAAGACAAGGACTCCGATCCATCACATTGGCTTCTGTTTTCCCCAAAAGACAGCTAGTGTCCATGTGATGTGGGTGAGATAAAGAATGGGAAAGATACATGTAGAGGAGCACAGTAATATATGACAAAGGAAGAGAGAATTAGACGAGCACAGTAATATATGACCAAGGAATACAGAATTAAAGGAGCACAGTAATATATGTCCAAGGAACAGAAAATTAGAGGAACACAGTAATAAATGACAATGGAAGAGAAAATTATAGAAA